TCCTGCTCCTCCTCCTCGTCCCGGGCCTTTTCATTCCCCTTGCCCTTGCGCCGCGTGCGCAGCGCCCGCCCCTCCTCTACATCGCGGCTGCCCTCTCCTCCGTCTTCCGCCCCCGCCGACGCTGACGCCCCCGCCGACGCACCCCCAAGCGCCCCACCCGCCCCCGCCCTTGCCGTCGCAGCAACCCACCCGCGCGCGCCCCCGCCGAGGATGGCCTCGTACGCCGCGCGTTGCTCGACGCTCAGCCGCGCATACAGCACGTAGCTCTTCTTCGGCGGCAGTGCGGAGCCTGTGGACGTGAGGTCAGCATATAGCGGGGGCGAGGAGCGTAAGGAGAAAAGAGGAGGAAGAAAGGACGAGGGGTGCAGGGAGGGCGGGAGGGTAGCGGGCGCACGCGGTGTGGGGGGTGAGAGGGAGGGAAGTGGGGGAAAGAGAGATAGACAGCTAGCCAGATGGATAGATAGGTAGATGAAGAGAAGCGGAAGCAGATGCGGCCCATTATCGGTGCCACGACACACTCGCCCCCCGAGGAAAAGCCACATGCGCGGTGCACAGGCCATCACACACCCCCGCGAACTCGCCTCTACGCACGGCTTCGGCATAGGCTTGACGTAGACTCGCGAGCCCACACTCCGCGAAAGCCTCCGACAGCCAGCCATCACACGCAGCCTCTGCGCCGACCCCAAGCTCGCCACACCCACACTCAGCGAAAGCCTCGACTGCGGCCATCGCCCCCTCCTCTCCCAAAAAACCACAGCAACCCGGAAAAACCGAATCAAAACGCACCCAATACATCCGCCTTGACCCGCCGGAGTAAGAACGGCTTAAGGATCGCGTGCAGCGCGCCGATGAAGGTACCCATGCGCGCCGAGGGGAGGAGTGCGGACATGCGCGGGAGGGAGAACCTGCGGGAGGTGTTCAGTAAGGCGTGTGGAGAGGGGGAGAGTGAGAGGATGGAAGGGAGGGGGAGGACGGGAAGGAGGATGATATGGGGAAGATGAGGGGACAGAGAATCGATGCGTATAAGATGCCGGTAAGACGAGATAACGATAGGAGCGGGAGGACGTAATGGACGAGGGATGCAGGGCGCAGACGTAGGGAAGGGTAGGGCGAGGATAAGGCAAAGGGAGGTGGGGGCGAGATACGGGGGCGGGAGAAGGGCGCGCCTGGGGACAGAGAATATGGGAGCGATGGAAGGATCAGGGGGGTGCGAAAGAGGATAAGGGTAGGGGAAGGACGAAGAATGGACAAAGGAGGAAGACAACAAGGCAAACGGGACGGAGAGAGCGCGGAACGAGCAGCGCGGCTGCAGGAAGACGAGGAAGGAGGCGGGGTGGGAGGGAGCGGAGCGTGAAGGAGGAGGGTATCGATGTAAGGATGGAAGGCGGACGACGGGCGTCGCGACCGAGAACGATCGAGGACTGGGAGGGAAAGATGGGAAGCGGGGAAGGAGTAGAGCGTGAGTGGGAGAGCGGAGGAAGGGCCATAATGACATAGGAGGACAAGGAGCGTGAAGGATGGACGGGGAGGGAGTGGGATGGGGACGTGATAACAACACGGAAAGGTGCGCGCGCGTACGAACAAAGGGTGAGGATGCGGAACGTGATGCATGACGGATGGGAGGGCGGGCAGATAAAGCGAAACCGAAAAAGAGCACGAAAACGCACCACTCCTGAAACGCATCCACATCATCAAAGATATCCGGCAGCACAAAGTTGAGCAGCGACCACAGCTCGGCAAGGTTGTTCTGCGGGAGGGTGTATGTCAGTATTCTGTGTGTGTGCGGGGAGGGGAGGGGTGTATATGCAGACAACGAGGAAAGGGGTACGCGCGGCTGCGGGGCCCCGAGCGCAGGACCCGGGCGCGTTCGCAGCACAGCGCGTCAGAGAGCACTCGCGGACGCAGACACCCCGTCGGCAGTATCGCAGGTGCCATAAAAGAGACAAAGAAAGAAAGAAAACGCCCAACTCACATGCAACGGCGTCCCAGTGAGCACCATCCGCCCCGCGCTCTCGTAGCGCTTCACCTCGCGCACAAGCGCGCAGCGCAGGTTCTTGAGACGGTGGCCCTCGTCCACGACGATGTACCTGCGTAAGAGGCGGTTAGGGCTTTGCTCGATGCGGATAGATTGAGCAGATTGAGTAGAAGGAAGGTGAAAGAGAGGCGGGGGGAAGGAGAGGGAGGAATGGGTAGGAGAGGATGGGAAGGGGGAGCGCGAGCGAGCAGGGGACGGGGGGGGGCGCCTTGCAAGGGGAAGGGAGAGAAGGGCAAGACGGGAGGGAGGAAGAGCGCAAAAATGGAAGGAGGAAGGGTAGCCGAAGGAGGCGAAGGAGGAGTACGTAAAAAAAGAGAGGAACGAGCGAGGAAGGAAGATGGAAGGGGAGAACGGGGATCTAGACGAAGGCAGGGTAAGGAGGGGGCGGCGGGGAAAGGGTAAGAGAGCGAGCATGAGGAAGAAGGGGAAGACGGAGGGAGGTAGATAAAGGACGAGCGGGGGAGGGGAGGGGGGAGAGAGTAGCGAGGAAGGAAGGGGGGAGAGCGTAAGGAAGGAGGGGAGGCGGTGAGGGCGGGTAAACGGGCGGGGGACGAGTTAGGAGAACGAGCGTTGGGGCGGGGGGGATGGGGAACAAGCGGCGGGGAGGCGGTGAGAGCGTAAGACGGGGAGGAAGTGCAAAGAGGGGAAGACGACGGGAAGGCGGCGAGGAAAGGGGAGAGCGGAAAGGGTAAAGATAAAGACGGGGAATGGGTAATCAAGGAACAAGAGGACGAGCTTGGCGCGCAGCGTAAAACACGAAAAAACCCTACTCACCCCCATGGATACCCCCCCAACACCGGCCGATCCCTAATAATCAGCTCATACGTCGTAAGCACGACGGGGAAGTGCGGCATGTCGGGATAGTCCCACTTCCAGTCGACGCCCTCCGTGCCCGACTTCCACGCGTCGTCCTCGTCCCCGTCCTCTTCCTCCGCATTCTCGTTTTGATCTTCGTCTTCGATTTTAGAGGCGCTTTTGCGAGGCGAGGTGCGTTTTCCAGGCGACGCGGAAGTGGAAGTGGAGGCGCCTTTCTTCGGCGAGTTCTGAGCCGCAAGGCGGGAGGACGGAGCGCGGGCGGAAGCGGACGTGGAAGCAGACGCGGCCGCGCTCTGGGAGGCAAGACGCGCGGACGCAAGACGGGTGGAGGCAGGGCGCCCGGGCGTGGCGAGGGGTTCCTCGTCGTCGGAGTCGTCATCGCGTTTGCGCTTGAGCGAGGCAGAGGCGCGCGCGCTGCGCGTAGGAGTGGGAGGCGCCGCTTTAGGTGTAGCTTTCGACGTCGCGCCGCCCCTCCCCCGCGCGCTCGCCCCACCCCTCCCTCCCCTCGCCGCCGCCCCGCCCCTCGGTGCCGCACTCACGCTCGCCCCGCCCCGGCCACCCTTCTCCGCCGCGCCACCCCTCCCCCTCGGCCTCCCTCTCCCTCTCCCCCTTCCGCCTTCATCCCTCCCCTTCCCTTTCCCCTTGCCCTTAGCCTCGTGCGCCGGCCCCCTATCAATCTTGACGCGCACCTTCTCCGGCAGCGCGAGCGCCGTGCGCCTCAGCTCCGCGCGCTCGGCCGGCGTGCCGTGGTAGATCACCACCGGGATCTGCGGGTGAATAAAACATAAATTAGCGTGCGCGCTGCGGCGGGGACGACGTAAAAGGGGCAGGGAGGAAAGGAATCGTACTCACCCCCGGCGCGAACCGCCTATACTCGTCCGCCCAATTATGCAGCACGCTGAGCGGGCACACGACGAGGAAAGGCCGCGAGAAGCCGAGCTCGCGCAGGTGCGCGGAGAAGGCGATCGTCTGGAGGGTCTTGCCTAGGCCCATCTCGTCCGCTGCAACAGAAGCGCGTTAGCTCAAAAACGAAAACGAAAACGAAAACAAAGGGGGGAGGAAAGGAAGGGAAGGGAGAGGGAAGGACAGGAAACGGAAGGAGAACGCACCGAGGATCCCAGAGATGCCATTTTCGTGCAGCGCAACCATCCACTGCAGGCCCTCGAGCTGGTAGTCCTTCAGGCGCGCGCCCGTCACCAGCGCCGGCTGCGGGAACGCCGCCCCCTCTTCGTCCTCCTCCTCTTGCTCATCCTCCTCCTCCACGTCGGCCTTGCCACGCCGCCGCCTCTTCGCTGGCCGCGCGTCCCGTTCTCTCTCTCGCTCCTCGCGCGCCTTCCGCCGCCGCGCAAGGACCATCTCGCGGTGCCTTCCCTTCGCACCGTCCATCTGCGCGGTGAGCAGCGCGCTGAACATGGCGCTCTTCTCGAGGACGTACTCGAGGCGCTTGTAGCGCTCTTCGTCTGCGGCGGAGATCGCGCCCTCGTCTTCTTCGTCTTCGTCGTCGGCTGCGGCTTGCTCTTCGCCTCCTGCTGCTGAGCCGTGGGCGGGTGACACGTCTGCGTCCGGCACGCCCACGAGGAACGCGCTGTCCCCCTGCTCCCTCTTCTCGTCCTACCCAACCCGTCAGCGCGGTGCCACTGAAATCAAAAGAACGCCACTCACCCCTTCTCCCGCTCCTCCGAGCATCTCCACATCCCCTCCCTCCGCTTTGACCCCCATATCCAAATCGACCTCAGGAGCAGGCGACGACGCGGCCGTGCTCGCCGGCACCGACGACCACATCCTGAACGGCGCGGGCGAGCACGACGCGCTTGCTTCGGGTGTCCATGTGGGCGTCGCGGCGGGCGTCGACGCTGAGCTCGCCCAGGGCGTCTCTGCGGGTGTCAGGCTCGCTGCCGGTGGCGGCGACGAGGATGCGGGCGGCGACGACGACGAGTCGGTCTCCATGCTGGCAGTATAAACAGAAAAATGATTTGATTGGTAATTGACGCGCTCTTTTCGGATGGCATCACGCATCACGTCACACAGCCCCTATCTCTCATCTGCTGTGATTGAACCACATCCCCTTGTCTTACGATAGTTCAACGTTCAACCATTGATTCAACGACGCAGAATGCTCATTTACTGAGACACCCAACGAGCAGAGGAAGGCTCGGTGGTGGACGGTCCACGCCTACATACCGTGTGATGCTACATCCGTTCTTTATCATGCAGGAGGAGCCCGTTCGACTCGGGCCCGAGCCATAGCTCGTCGAAGTTTCTTTTTCGCTTGCCTTATAATTACACTTAACAATCCTTGACACAGATAAACCGATAAAGGGAGGAGCGAGATGAGTGAGGGAAGGGCTCAGTGGTGGACGGTCCACACCTGCAAACTATGTGCAATTTTCGTAGTACTAGGCAGGAGGAGCCCGTTCGACTCGGGCCCGAGCCATGAGGGCGTGCTGCTTTTCCTCCGCTTCTTGTAGTTGAGCTTGTCGTGCTAATAAAAGAAGCGACACTGCAAGGCCAAGAGAGGCTCGGTGGTGGACGGCCCACGACTGCAAACTATATAGTACAATACATCTTAGCGAGTAGTAGGCATTGTAGGTTGACCCTGTTTTCACTGGTCCAGGTATGGATGATTTATTGGCCAAGAATGACAGTGTTCAGAGATAAATGCAGATACTCAAAGCTGAGGCTGCCCAGATAATCAAGCACTCAAGCTGATAGAGAACGGCTCGGCGGTGGACGGTCCACACCTGCCACATGTATGAGGACGTAAACTTCGCATAATAAGGAGGATGTGCCCGTTCAACTCGGGCCCGAGCCATTCATGGGTGTGGAATCCCTATTTTTTCTTCCGCTTCTTGTAATCAAACTTGACAATGACAGACACTCCGATAAAGGGAGGGACGAAATGAGGAAAAGAACGGCTCGGTGGTGGACAGTCCACACCTACATACCATGGATCCATGCTTTGAGTGATTATGCAGGAGAAGCCCGTTCGACTCGGGCCCGAGCCATGACTGGGTGTAATCCATTTTTTATCTCCGCTGCTCAGCCTCAACTTTACACCGAGATAGATGGAGGGACCAAACGAGTTAGACAAAGGCTCGGTGGTGGACGGTCCACGCCTACATACCATGATATTCGGCGACGGTGCTTTATTATGCAGGAGGAGCCCGTTCGACCCGGGCCCGAGCCATTCAAATGCGAGGCCGTTCTTTTTTTCCTTCCGCTCGTCGAGGAAGAATGCAGGAGCAGCCCATCGCCCAGGGATTGCAATTCCCCCCTTACAGACTGAACGCCAAGGGCTCGAGGGGAGTGAGAACGGCTCGGTGGTGGACGGTCCATGCCTGCTATAATTAATTGCGGAAAGCACCCCAACAAGTATGCAGGAGGAGCCCGTTCGACTCGGGCCCGAGCCGTTATGGAGTGCAACGGTTCTTTTTACCGAGGTTAAACTCCCAATCAGAAACTTTAGTAAGGGATGTATGATTCTCATCGGCGGGCCACAATATTCAGTCGCAGAAGGAGCCTATTCGGCTCGGCCCGAGCCATACGTGCTTGCACAATTTTTTTCGCGCCTCAGAGCGAGCTTCCTCGGGTCCGATCTGAGTTGACTAGAGGAGAGAGGTGAGAAGGGATGGAGAGTCCCGGTGGTGGACGCCGCGCCTACATATCATGATATCATAATAGTCCGCGAGGAGCCCGTTCGACTCGGGCCCGGGCCATTCATACACTAGCGCATTTTTTCTCTCTCCGCTTCTCAAAACTGAATCATTTGAGTTCAGAGGCTACAGGAGCAGCCTATACATAGCCCAGGGATGATAATTCCCCTCTCCCCAAACCGTAGGCGGCTCAGGAGGAAACCGTTCGACTCGGGCCCGAGCCGTGTGCGGACGAGATAAATCATTTTTGCTCTCCGCTGCTAAGAGTTGAGCTTGTCATTTTAATAAAGGGAGCGACGGAGCAAGGGATGGAGAGGCTCGGTGGTGGAGGGTCCACACCTACAACTTATAATCGGGTATTACGTTTGAGTATCTAGGAGGAGCTCGTTCGACTCGGGCCCGAGCCATGAAGCGCTGGACACCGCCTTTTTTCTTTCGCTTCCAGAGTTGAACTTGAAATCATAAACCAGGAACACAACGAGCAAGGAAACGGCCCGGTGGTGGAGGGTCCACACCTACACACCTTGGAATAGTAGTGATATTTGTGTAGGAGCAGCCCGTTCGACTCGGGCCCGAGCCATTCATGCCGGAATTCATATTTTTTCTTCCGCATCTTGTATTAGTTAAGCTTAACAATCACAGACACTCCATAAAGGAAAGAACGAAATGAGGGAAGGAACGGCTCGGTGGTGGACGGTCCACACCTACGAACTATACTAGATTTGCGCAAGGTATGCACTTCTGCAGGAAGTGCCCGTTCGACTCGGGAGTCAAGTCGGGTAGCTCGTCGAAGTTTGTTTTTCACTTGCCTTCCTATTTCGACTCGGGGCCGAGCCGTAATTTGGGTGTGTAGTCGTGTTTTTTTTCTGCCGACGTTAGAGGGAACAGAGAGATCCCGAGCCATGCTGGTGTGGACACTGTTTTACCGTCTGCACGAAGGTGAACTGCCATTATAATAAAAGGAGCGACACGGGAAGGGAAAGATGGGCTCAGTGGGTGGACGTTCCAAACTTGCAATCGGGGATCAGAAGGCTTTTCGAAAAATGGGGATGGAGATGGAGGCAAAGCAACGGATAAAACATTCATCTTGCCTTACGGAACGCAATAGAATCTGGCTGAAGCCTCCGGTGAACTCATTTGAAGCGCTGAGAAGAGTCGGAAAACGGACGGGTGTCCCCACAACAAGTTCATTCAGACGACGACACATCCTGGTCTTGCGGGCTTTGTGCAGACAATTGACGGCGCGAGGAGCGCGGCCAAGAAGGCCTGGATTTTAAATAGGTTTGAGAGGGAGGCAAAGGAGGGGAGAATGGCACATGCACCTCATCAAATACGTTCTTTAGCCCCTGCTGTGTCAGTGCCGAACACTCCACGTATCTCTGCGCCCCCAGCTCGCGCGCGAGCCGCTCGCCCTGGTCACTCGTAATTGGCTGTTGAGTCTGGCGCTCAAACTTCTCTGTCATCTCCGCGTCGTCTCGAAGATCTATCTGTGTGCCCACGATGAGGCGTGGCACACCCGGACAGTGATGGCCCACTTCGGGAAACCATTTTTCCCTGACGCTCTTGAACGATGCGGGAGACATGACGCTGAAGCACACCACAAAGATGTCCGTTTGCGGGTATGAGAAGGGGCGCAGACGGTCGTAACACTCCTGAGCTGCAGACAAAATACAAGAAGCAAGTGAGTCTTTTGTCTGCAACGGGGAAACCAGCACTGACCGGCCGTATCGAACAGGGCTAATGTAAAGGTATCCTTCTCCGACGTCATGGGGACCGCATAGTTGTCAGAGACCTTGAAGTTGGTCCGTGAACTGTGAAATGAAGGCATTTGGGGCGACGCACGTGTGGAACATCTTTCGCCGGGAAATTCTTGGTCTTATACGAGATGAGTAGACAAGTCTAGCATGGGATCAGAGGCTATCAGAAGCGAATCCTGCCAGCCAAAACACAGTGGTGCACACCTTGCCGACGCGAGCGTCTCCGACCACTACGCATTTGACTGTTTGCATGATAGTCTGAGGTAGCGTTCGGGGAGAGCGGTTTCAAGTAGTGGGAGAAGGAGGTACGGGAACAATCAGACGAAGATTGGCGTGAGAACGAAACTGGTAACCATACAACGCTTGTGGCAGTGCATCCAAGACTGCGCACAGCTGCGCACTGACTGCTTAAATCCTGATTAAACCCAAAGGAGGGGGAAAGAATCCCCAGCAGATGGTATGCAGAGCAGTTGATATTGAGACGCGGGGAGTCGAACCCCGTTCTGCTGGAGAGATGCTTTGAATTGATCCCTAGGACTCAGGAGGCAGCCATGTAGACTCGAGGCAGTGCGCTTTTCGGGACAGTAAGGAATTGATGACAATCGATCAATAAGCCGGCGGAAAAGCGACTGGAGCTTTCTAACCGGCGGCTAGTAAGTACGGTCGGAGTTTGCCGGCGTACACTGTTTTGACTTAGTGCAATTTCGCATCGATGAAAATTCAAACTCTTCGTATTGAAATTCTGAAGAGACAGTTTTTTTTCTAAATACTTTTGTAAGGATTGCCAGCCAGAAAGGAGAAGCTAAGAGGGCTATTGACAAGGTGAAATGAGCGGCCCATTGTTTTGCCGCCGCCAGTAGGGATATCCGGCTCCATCTGATAACTGCATAAGGAGGGGACGCCAAAAACCGCACATAATTTTTGGTTGCTCTCTCGACATGCTCAGGGTCCAGTTCCACGAACGGCTTGAATGGCATGAGGGAGAGTGGAGACCCAAAATGGGTGATCGGCACGCGTAATTCGCGTCTAATGGAGTCCCATCAAGCTCGAATCTCTCACAACGAATAGGTCGATCATTTGAATGTATTTAGAACAGGACTGTCTCCTCAGAATTCCAATGCAGAGGGTTTGAATTTTCGAGAATGCGAAATTGCACCAAGTCAAAACAATGTACGTCGTCGGCAAACTCCGACCATACTAGGGTCCGGTTAGAAAGCTCTCGCCATCACCAGTGCTGGTGATTTTGTGGCTGGGTTCGAGCCTAACAGCCATGCACCTTGAAACACGTGCGATACCTGCCATTATTTCGAGCCTAAATAGGCTGGTGAGATTCGCCGCCTGAGATGATGAAAACAAAATATTTAGGAATGAATATTCGGACACAGGGGCCCGTCATTGTCGATGAGCCGTAGCGGTTTGAGCGCATCCGATACATACCGCACCCTGGCACATGTATACGTGGTGAGATATGCGCCAATCATCAAGACACTACCGTCGAGCGTTTGGCAAATATTCTGCAGGGCAGTCGTGATTTGAAGAAGAAAACCGCCGACCTTGAAATCTATTCGGATGCGGGGAGTCGAACCCTGCGTCATAATTCCAGGAGATCCACTCATAGGAGGCAGGCACCACATCCGATCAGGTACAATCCATCGACCAGGCCTAACTGAATTTGTAAATCCACGACCTCAGAAAAAAAAACAGATGGGGAGTGAATACTCGACGTGGGGAGTCGAACCCCGTCGTGCTCCATCACAATTGGAAATGGTAGCCGCACAAAGAGGCAGCCGTGCGCCGTGCACCACGTCCGATTCATACCATATCATGTAGCCTATATAAGCTGATGAGATAGTATACCCGCCCGCGAGAAAAAATAAAAAGGACCGTAAGAAAATATTTTCGTGATGACGAGGCAGTGAATTAGAAATCTCTATGCGCCTGTAGCACCACAAGATCAGCCTCCATATGGCCTCCTCAATGCTAGAAGCCGCAGGTATAATAGTGAATGCGGCGCTGTCTTATTACTGCCCTTAGATTTCCTTTGGCAGTCGCCCTGATATTGTAATTTTCAGTGGCTCGTTCCTAATGCCCACCCTTCATTTTCATCTCCCGATCAGGTGCCAGCGCTAAGTGCAACAAAAATGACTGCGCCCGGGTGATTATGTGTATAATCTTCGAGCAACGGATAGGTAAGCGAAATAAATAGCTTGTTCATTAGGTCGTGATATGGGAGAAAAGATAGAAAAAAGATGTGCAAAGCAAAGGGAAAATATATCGACAAAGCACCCGCGTCGTGGGAATCATGACAAGTCCCCTAATCGCCAATAAAAAAAAGAGGGAGCAACCCCTACCACTCACCCCCGACATAGAGCACCCAGCCTGTCCTATCGGGATTCGGTGCTATTCCTCGGAAATACAGACTTCCGGCCAGATAGTCGATCCGACGCATGCCCTCGTTCCCCTTCTCGCGAAGTCTCCATTCGAGGGATGCGCGCTGCTGGCGTTCTAACGACCACTTCTGGAACTCGGCGCGCCCCACGAACTGCCGGAAGTTGTGCATGATCGCGCCGAAGACTTCGCGCACGCGTATACCCTTAGGGTTGCCGATCATGAACTTCCAGGGGAAGCGCGCGTCAGCGAGCGCGACCGCGCTGACATACATGTGCGAGAGGAGCGGACGCGTCGCGGGCTGCGTGAGGTCCGCCGCGGAGAGCGGGATGGTGATGTTGAGTGGCCCGCCGTAGAGGATCGCCAGCCAACCTGTGCGGATATTCCAATAGACGGGCGCGGGGCCGCAAATGGCGTGTTCGAGGAAGGGATTAATCTGGCAGTCCCAAGGGAAGGTCAGCGGCTCGCCTGGTGGCTCGAGCGGGAGGGAAGGGTGAGCGATGCCATGGATCCAAAGCTCGGGGCGGAGGGTGCCGCCGGGACTACGCAGACTTTCGGACACCTCGTCGAGGTCGACCTCGTCTAGATCGATATTACGATATGGGGTGGGGCTTGGCGTTGTTGAACATTATTGAGAGTCGCAGTGAAGGCAAAATATCACTGTACTTACTGAAGGTGTTATGGACGCTCACGCCGTTGACTGTAGGCCGAGAGTGGATGCCGAATGCTCGCCATTCAGATAGAGAGACCCGCGACGATTCTTTACAATTTGAAGCGCTCGTTATTGGCTCTTGACTGGTTCTCTCCCGTCTCTTTGTGGGTCGCGCTGGAAGGCATGAGGATGAGTGGCACAATCGACAAATATAACGCAAGACCATTCACACATTAACAGCCGCAGGCACCGCAAGACAGCGAAAATATTTCGGGCTGGTGAACCCCATAGTAGACCATTTCGCTTGGGAGCGACGGGGTACACTATATCGTGCAGTGTTCGCCCGAAGGCCTTCAAAATTGACTCTCGGGATCCTGAAGGCCTTCGGAAGGGTGAAGGCCTTCAGTTGAAGGGCAGGCGAAGGCCTTCATGATCGTTTCCCACGCCCCATGCTGCGCTTAATTTTGGGTGAATATACATGTTGGTGGAGCGCAAAACTCATCGTCGGAATCTAGGGCTATCCCGCCCTCCGACCTCGTCAACCTGGTGATCGGGAGTCTGCCAGCTCCTACCTCAGCGGGTCCTTGTCCTCTGCACGAGCCGACGGCTT